ATACCTGCCACTGCCTGGAAAATGGCTTTCATCCCTCCAGGCTCAGCTCAAAAACTGCCTCCTCTGGGAAGCCTTCTAGGACTGCCCTTTATCTCCCTGGGCAATTCCTCTTCCTCATTCAAGACTCCATTCAAGTGTCAAGTCTTACTGGGCTCACGTACTCCATCTTCTGAACCCTATTCCTTCTCCCCACACCCCAACAGAGAAATTCCATATCTGCCCGCCTCCGCATTAGCCCAAGTGCCTGCAGCTGAGGTCAGGGCTGCTTCTCAGTTCCCTTGTCACTGAGCACAGGCCTTAGCTCAAGACAGAGGTGCCCCAAGCATTTGGGGTTGAACGCATTTTCATGAGGATGGAAACCGTGGGATGATACATGAAAGGGGTTTCCTCCTGAAGAAGACAGACTCTCCCTCCTGGATCTGTTATAAATGTCCCACAGACAATCACAAGCTATGAGAGGTCCCTCCTGGGACACACTGATTAGGGAGACAAAGCAAGCTGAGCCCTAGAAATTGTCTAGCCCACTTGGTCTCCCTACTCATTCATTAACCATTTATTGATTGCCAACTACAGGCCAAACATTGCTACTTCCATTACTGCATTTCATCCTCTTCTTCGACTCTGCTTGGTAGAAGAAAGCAGAGCTCAGAAGCAAATTGTTTTGCCCAAGGTGATGGAGCTGGTAAGTGGCAGAGCTGGGATTTGAACTCGCCCTAGCCACTGCAGCTCACTTCTCCTCTGCCCAGTTCTGGAGAGGTCCACAAGGGGAAAGGGTGGGGAAGAGCAGGTGCTGCCCATCAAAACATCTCATCTCCCCCAGGCCTACATAGCCACCATTGGCACAAAGCAAGGTTTTGGATGTACAAGGAGCTACCCAGTGCCAGACACACAGGCTCAGTGCATGCCTGGGTTCACTTAAAAGGGTTGAATGGCTTTGGCTGAAATTCACAAATCTTGGGAACCAGCCTGGGGCTATGATGATCACAAGTTCCCCTCCATGACCTCAGGCAAAAATGGTCACGCTATACCTGGGCTTGACACTTGCCTCTGCCCCTGGCTACCTCTATGACCCTGCTTGCCACAGCAGATTCCAAAAACACCTATGCTTGGGCCTGGCCCCCGGAAACTCTGACACGATTAGTTCAGGCAAGGCAGAAGCATCAGTGTGTAGAGAGTAAGTGAATATTCCATCCCAGAACCCTGATGATGTAGCAGAACTTGATCTCTTTCCTACTACCACCTCCCACCTCTCGCTTCCCAAACTGCAGCCCTAGTCCTTCGATTTGATCTGAAGATGGAATCCTGATGACCTCCTCTGGCCCCTAGATCCAATCTTACCTGAAACTAGAACTACCCCCTGGACTGCTGTTTGTTGTCGTTGTTGTTGTTGTTGTTTGCTATATAAGCCCCGTATTCCCTTTTTGCTTAAGGCATTTTAGATTAAGTTTCAGCCATTTGCAGCCAAAGTCATCTTAAGGAAGGTGTGCTGGTGGGCAGAGCACTCCCCTGACCTGAAAAGGTCTGTGGCTCTATGTTGCCCCAAAAAGGACTCATCAGTGATTGCAACAGGTGGTGGCAGAGGAGAAAAATACAATCTGGGTTGCATCTCCAGAGATGGGGAAAAAAAACGCCTAGCACATCATGCTAGACACTCAACCACTGTTTACAAAATGAAAGCAAGCGCCACCTCCTGGGCCAGGTGACATGGGTTCCAGAGGGGTAGCAAGGAGAAGGGGGGCCGCCTGAGCATGCAGGGGCTGGGACAGAGCTGGCATCTGATTAGTACAACGCGGCAGAAAGAGTAACTCCAGCAAGGACCTGCAACCTCTGGAAAGCTCTGTCAAGGGCTTGATGCAGGGACCCTTACTGTGGCCAGAGATGTGCAGGGTTGGCACACAGATGGCCCAAGGAAGCTGCCCCACTGAGCCACTCCAAAGGAGTCGGCACTGGAGCTGAGACCAGGCATTCCCACAGGTGAAGAAGTGACCTGGTGACCCGGCTCCAAAGGGGAAAGGGACGAACACTTAGCAAGTGCCTACTCGCCTACTAAGTGTCTGGATTATCATTCCCATTTTACAGATGAGGACGCTGAGGCTCAGCAAGGCCAGGGGGCTTACACTCCCTTGGGTTGATGTGGATAATTCAGGCTCTAGCTTAAGAGTGAATCCACAGACAGCAGGAAACACGTTTCTAATTCTTTGGTGCCCTCAGAGCCCTTTGGCCAGGTACACAGATCTCAAATGAATGGATGCAGAATCGGCCCTCAGGGAGCTCCCAGTGTGACAGAGGATGCAGGCAGGAAGACAAACAGTGATAACCCAGGTCAGCAGACAGGCAGCACGGGGCTGCGCGAGGGCCTGTGGGGCTCCGGGGTGGGTGGGCTGACGGAGGGGTCCGGGAATGACCAGCCAGGACTCAGGGCAAGTGGACAGAGGGAAGGGCAGGCCCGCAGAGGGCCCAAAGACCCGGTCCATGGAACAGTGGTGCTCAGTGCCACGCATCTGGAGCATAAGGAATCCATGTGCCCAGGGAGGCTCCCTGGGGCCTTTGGTGTCCCATAGCAAGGTGGGAACACCCATGGATGGGTTTGGAGCTGGGTGGGGGTGGAGGGCAGGCCATGTGCTGCCCTCCAATGCCGTATGTGCTGTAGAAAGCCGAAGGTGGACAGCAGGGAAAGGCCTGGAGGTGCAGAAGCCACACACTAGGCGGCTGGGGCAACGATTTCCGGGATGGTAGGAGGCCAGAACAGAGGCCGTGGCAGGGGTTAGGACAGGAGGGGACTCCCAGGACCTGAGGCCCGACTGGGCAGGGTGGCTGTGGCGAGGACCGCAGCCCAGGAGCCAGATTCCCACCTTGGGGGCCAGAGAGTGAGGGGGCGCTGGGCGGGGCAGAGGTCGAGCCTGGACAGGTGGATTTGGGGGCGTCCTCGAGTCCCCCGGGTGGGCCCAGAAGACAGAAGGCTGGCAAGGGATGGGGGCGGGCGTGGAGGCCGGGGCGGGAGCGGGGGAGGCGCCGGGGGCCGGGGCCGGGCCTCCCTCCGCTGCGCCAGGGCGCGCCGCGCCAGCTGAACCGTCACCAATATTAATGACGGGAGAGAGGGCGAGGGGGCAGGAAATCGGAGCCGGCTCCTGTGGAAGCGGTGACTCAGCGGCTAGCCCGCGGGCGGGAGGCGGCCGGCGGCGGGGTGGGGGGGCGGCCCGAGGGGACGGGGCTGCTCTTTTGACCCCCGCGCGGCCCTCCTGGGGTCAGGATGCCGGGAACCGCGCGCAGACGGCGAGGGCGGGCCGCGGCGTGGGCACGGGCACTGGCTGGTGCCGCTGGCCCCTCCTGGGGGAGAAAGAAAAACGAGCCGAAAACTCAAAGCAGGTTGGGCCTGGGAGGCGGCCCAGGCGGGCAGGAGAACAAAGCGCCTGACGCGGGGCTGGGCCGCGCCGCCACAGGAAACGACCGGCCAGGCCAGGGGGACCGGCCAGGCCAGGGGGACCCGGCGCCCGCGCCCCAGTCCGCGGCCCCGGCCCCGACCCCCCTCGCCGGCCGGCCGGCCTTGCAACGGCGGAAAGTGAATCACTAATTAAAACCACTCCTCGGCATCCCGGAGCCGCGCTCTGCGGATTACTATTATTTTGCTGTTTCAGAAGCCTCAGTTGGTGTGGGCAGTGCGGCTGGAATCTTTTCCTTCCAAACCAGGCTTTGAATCCCGCCGAGCTCTAGTGTGGGACCTGGGACAAGTGCCCGGGCGTGGCCGAGCCTCGGCTTCCTCATCTGTGGAATGGGGATGGTAGCGGTGGCAGCCTCCTGGGATTCACCGGGAGCGTTTCAGTTCAGTGCCAGGCAGAAAGTCGGTGCTCAATTAGCGGAGGCTATTATGACTGTAATTATTAACAAAATAATGCGACAATGCCCTGACTGAGATTCCTGGCCTGTTACATCCTCCCCAGCCTCTTGGGTATGGGGGAGGGGGGAGGGATAAGACTTGGAGAATTCAAAAAATCAAAAACATAGCTTCAGCAAGACTGAAGTCATCTCCCCCATCCCCAACAAGATGTAATGAACCGCAAATAATCAGCCAGGGCATTGCCCCCAAGCACAAGCCCATCCCCCTTGGAATCCAGGCCTACCCTCCACCCTACTCCACCTATCCAGGCAGAACCCCCTCAATCCTGGTTACCCAAGCTGGATATGGGAGTCTCCCTGCAGAGAGAAGAGGACAGAAAACCTGACCCTACCATAGAGCTCCTGTGGATAACACCTTCCATTCGAACACCCAGAGGAAGCCAGTTCGTGACTTCTGCAAAGAAGCGCATCCAGGAAATGAACAGGGGTGCTGAGAAGCAGCATCATTGGAGACTCAGATCCCCACACACGTGGGTCTCCCCAACCTGAAGGTCCCCCTGACCTGCACCCTCCCCTGCCTCCGCCCTAATTTGTTACATGCAGCTCTCTTGCCAGTTTCAAAGTAATAAAATCTTCCTGAAATGCTAGAACCATGAGGCCCAGCGCTGACAAGGCGGCCAGGTTCCAGAGGCCACTGCTGCAGGACGGCGCTGTAAGCCCCTGGCGATTGTTAAAACGATCGCTGCAGTCACAGCCCTTGGCCTGCTGGTTTCTTGCTCCCAGAGTCAGGGACAGGTAGCTGGGGTGCCCCAGAGCCCCTCAAGGATCCTCCCACTACCAAGCAAGCCAGAGCTCCACACCCAGCAGCAGAAACCAGGGCCCTGTGTGCACCGTAAGTCATAGCCATGGATACCTCAGCCTGGTGAGCTCAAGTGCCCGGGCAGAGAAGTGGGGGATGGGGTGGGGTGAAAGAAAGAGATTACAGTCTCTCTCTCTCTCTCACACACACACACACACACACACACTCACACACACACACACACACACACACACACACACGGCCTGTTTTCCATTTGGGGCTGACAGTGCCATGGACACATTGTTCCAGCTCCCAGAGCTGCCAGAGGGGAAGCCCACGTTCCCAGGAATCCCAAACCATCACTCACCTTCCCCACCAGCTTGCCTTTGCGGTTCATGCACAGGTAGAATTCCGTCTCCTTGCCCTTGATCCGGACTTGACTACCGAAGGTGTCTGTCTCCACTAGGAGCTGGGCTTCGAAAGGCAGAAGGAGAACAAGACACATTTTATTACCAGGGGCAATGGCGTGGTCTAAAGGCTCAGTGACATGGTCCCTGATCCTATCTTTGGTCCCTCACTCCCCGAAAATCAGGCATGGGGAGGCCTAACAAGTCCCACAGGACAGATGCCTAAATAACCACAGAGAAGTCAGAGAAGTAGCAGTCCCTGCCCCTCAGGCAGGGAGATGGACGCTGCCGATCACCTGTTCCCTTCCCTCCAGCCTCTCTTGGCTCCGCTTGGGATCCAGATGGCTCCAGCCAGAAGGGAGTTCTGCCCTTGTGGCTAAACACCAGTGTGCCCTTCTCCCCATCGTCACCCACCTTCCCTAGCCCCTCAACTCTACTGCACCAAACAGGACAAAGAGCCGTGCAAAAAACCCATTTCCCAAAGCAGGACAGACAGCCATACAAAAAGGCCATTATCCCAAGCAGGACAGGCGGCAGTGCAAATAACTCCATCCCCCAAACCCAAAGCAAGACAGACAATCATAAAAATAACCCCATTCCCCAAATCAGGACAGATGCCATACAAATAACCACAGAGAAGTAGCTAAGGGGACCAAGGGGACAGATAGACACAGATGCAGGCACGTGCACGCACACCTCCCCTGCCTTTCAGGACGTCAAGCTATTTCCTCCAAAAGTTAGGTCTATGGCCCCTTCCTGCAAAGCAAACATCTGGAGCCCCTGCTAGTGCCCCCTGGCACCTTTACCCTGGCTATTCATAGCAGGAAGGGCACAGGGAGTGAGATGCGAGCTCCCTGAGAAAGGGTATGCAGGATATTCCACTGCCTTCCATGGAGGCCACCAAAGCTGAAGGGTAATTAACTCCCAGGAGCCCAGAAATTCCAATCAGGACCCAATTCCCCCTGCGATCCCCCCAGGGTGGGAGACCCCATGCTACATCATCCATGCTCCACAGAGCCTCCCTCAGGATGAGGGGTCCAGAGCTGATCCCCCAAAGCCCTGCCTGAACAAGGACATCAAGCAGGCAAAGAGTGACTGTCCCTTAATTAGGTGTGCTGTATCCAAATCGAATTTTCCTCTCCCTCTGCCAGTCCACATTTTTCTCCCCAGTAGGCTGCTGTGTGACTTTGGGTAGGCCACACGCCCTCTCTTAGCTCTCTCTCCTCTCTGATCTTAAACCCCTGTGCCTGACTCCTCAGTACCACCTGCTTTCTTTGCCTGTGACCGCCCCCCTCCCAATTCATGCACTCTTTCTCCTGACCCCTTGCTTCCTAGCCCCTGCCCCTCCCTCACCCACAAAAGTTTAATTTCAGTGACAAGGGACTTGCTTCTCCATAACAAAAATCATAGCCCCAAATTCCTGAGTACAGTATCCTTGGAGCCACAAAGAGTATACCTCAGTGCCCCTAAAATACACTAGGTATGATTTCAATAAAAAAAATTACAAATATAGACCCTGGTGCCCTGCTGTGAAAATTAAAACCATCTGGAACTTGAGATTTCCAATAATTAATCTAGCCCTCCTTTGACACCACTACTAATTAAAATACGATACCCACCTTTCCAAGAGGGAAAAAAAGAAGAATTTACATAAAATTTAAAGATCTAACAAGAATTTAGTAACTCTAGAAACAAGGGGAGGCACATTCTTCCCTCCACCTCCCCCTAGCCCTAGTCAACACTGAGTCAGGGATATTTACCAACGCTGAGATGGCGGTGGGTACAAGCCCCTCATCCTCCCTGTTCCCCTTAAGTCAAACTCCCTGTCATTTCATCTGTGAACTCCCTCCCCAGGGCCAAACATCACTGCAGCTCTGAAACTTGCTTTCTCCATCTCTTCGCAAAGCTCAGGCCCCACAGCGGGTGAGGAGTTATCGGGGCATCAGGACAATTTCAGGCGCTTCTAATGAGGGGGAAAGGTGAGAGCTTTAGGGTGCACAAATCTGGATATGAATCCATGGCCCCAACCGTATGACCCTGGGCCTCAGTTTCTTCTCCTGTAAAATGGGGGTATAATCTTCCATAGTTATTGTGAGGATTATACAAAATGACGCTGTGAAGAGCTTAGCACTCTGTTCTCAGAGGTCAGGGAGAGAAAACTCAATAAATGTTAATTTTCCTACAAACTGCAAAACCAAACTGTTTTCCCAAAAGAAAAGAAAAACGAAAACATAGTGGAAGGAAATCGGAGGTGTCTGCAAGGGTGGAGGAGCAGCAGAGCTTCCTTCCCCAGGTCTTGAGTTATGACCTGACCTTCCCAGCATCCTTCAGGGCTGCAGGCGTCCCACACTGTAAAATGCATCAGAAAATGCCTGGGGCTGGGGCTCACCGAGTCTAGTTTCCTTCTGGCATTGCCATCCTAGGCTGTGTGACCTTGAGCAAGTCATACCCCACTCTGAGCCTCAGTTTCCCTACCTGTGCAAGGGGGAGGGGCTCGACCCTATTCTCCTTCTCCTTGGTAAGATTAGGAAGTGGGGTCTAGCAGAGGGACAGGGATGGGAGATGCAGGAAGTAGGTAAAGCCACTGAGCTGGGGCCCAGATAACCCCAAGTAGGCCCAAGGGGGAGACTCCCTCTCGGCCCTACCCAGCACATGCCTGGGCCTCTGTCCTCGCAACAGTTCCTGCTATGCTCCCCTTAGAGCGCACTGAACCATCCAACCCTATGAGATTGGGTGTCTTTGTCCCCATTCTACAGTGTAGGAAACTTAGATTCAGAGCATCAGCCCGGTAACAGGGGCTGACCTCAGGACTGCCTGCCTCTTTCTACTGGGGCCTGGGCTCCAGGGGAGAGGCCCCCAGCTCTGGAGGGACAGGCCTCCCAGCGCAACCCCCACTCCTCACCAGCCAGCACCACCAAAGGAAGGAAGCCCTGGTCTTGGCCTTTGCCTGAGCTGTCCAAAGGGCCTGGGGCAGAGGTTGCACCTCCACCCCGCCACGAGCCTCACCACCCCACCCCAGCATGGGGAGGGTCTGCGCCTGGCCGTCACGCCAGGGGAGCCAGAAGTCTGTTCTCTCCCCGACCGCAGCATGCGATGGAGTGACCTAGACTCCACTCAGCACATGACATCATGAGGAGGGAGCCGGGCCAGAATTATGTAAAGTCTTTGGGGAGTAATAGCAGCAGCAGTTCTCAGAGAGAGAGAGAGAGGGAGAGAGGAAACGAGACAGAGAGAGACAGGACAAGGAGAAGAGAGAGACACCACCCAGGCCAGGTCCTCAGCATCACGCACCCACTCCCATGACCCAAGCCCCCAGGATGCTGCTCTCAAGAGCTGTAAACCTCATCCGGGCTCAGGCACAGCTCCACTCGAGGGGCCTGCACCAGGCCAGGCAGAGGAGCTGATGACATTATCTCACCCTGCTCATCAGACTTCCTCATGGCCCTGGCCGGGCCACTGTCCCCTCCAGCCTGCACAATTCAACAGCCCCCTCCCCTTGCCATTTTCACCCCCATCCACCTCTCCTCCACACCACAGCCAGAGGAATCCTTTCAAAATATAAATTTGCCAGGCGCTGTGGCTCATGCCTGTAATCCTAGCACTTTGGGAGGCCGAGGCGGGTGGATCACCTGAGGTCAGAAGTTCAAACCCAGCCTGGCCAACATGATGAAACCCCATCTCTACTAAAAAAAAAATACAAAGAAAAAATTTCCCGGGCGTGGTGGCAGTTTCCTGTAATCTCAGCTACTCAAGAAGGCTGAGGCAGGAGAATCACTTGAACCCAGGAGGCAGAGGTTGCAGTGAGCAGAGATCATGCCATTGCACTCCAGCCTGGGCAACAGAGAGAGACTCCACCTCAAAAAAAAAAATAAAAAATATATCAATTTAATTTTGTCCCTTCTCTGCTAAAGACCTCCTAGGGATCACCAAGCCACATAGAAGAACATGTAAACTCTTCACTGGGACCCACAAAGGGCACACAGCCTGGCCCCTGTGGGCCAGCCCCGCCTCCCTGCCTTGTTGCTCCCCTCTAGCACACCAAGCATGCTCCTGCCACAGGGCCCCTGCACATGCCGTTCCTCTGCCTGGAGGCTGCTTTGCCCAGAGCTTCCAGAGTGGCTCCTCATCTCCTAGGTTGTGGCACAAATATGGCCCCTCAGAGAGGCCTTCCCAGACCATGATGTCTAATGCTGGCACCACGCTCCCCAGCCCAGCCCTACCCCATCCCCCTGCTCCATTTTCCTGAGAGTTCTTCTCCGAAACTCTTATTTTTATTGTCGGTCTCCACCCAGCAGAAAGTAAGCTCCACGAGGACAAGAACCTGTGTGTCTTATCACCACTCTGACTTCCAGTGCCTATCCCACGCCTGGCTCAGAGTGACCGACCGGCAAGCCAGTTTTAATAAGCTCATCAACAGCCTTGTGGTGTGGAGATGACTAACACCATTCACTGGCTAATGAAAACGAAATTCAGGGAGGTGAAGTGGCTTGCCTGACTCACATGGCTGGGAAGAGCAGGGTAAGGTCTGAGTCCAATGTCTGATTTCACAGTCAATGCGCTTCACTACTGTGCACCTTCCTGGTGTGACTCTCGCTGCCACTTGCAGGAACCATGGGCTCCCACTCACCCATCCCCAGCCTCAGTGACACAGCAGAAAACCTTTTCCCTCTCTGGGCCAGATCTAGGTAACCTCTGAGGCCTCTTTCAGCTCTGCCCCACTGGAAAGTATCAGTAACTGACATTTCTTTAGAGTTTATGATGTGCTGGGCGTTGTCCTAACTACCTTACCTGCATTATCTCATTTAATTCTTACCACCATCCTAGGACATTTGAACTATTGTTATTATCCCCAATTTACAGGTGAGAAAACCAAGTCCCACAGTCACACAGTGATAGAGCTGAGATCCCAGCCCAGGCAGTCCGACCCAGAAGTCTCGGGCTTTGCCTGTCTACCCCAGCCCTCACTTCTCAGAGGCCGCAGCCCCTTTCCTGAGGAGCGAGTGAGTGAACAGTGAAGGAGGCAGGAGGATCTTCTCTTTGGCCCCACTTTCTTTGGGCAGCAGTCAG